CAGTCTTGTCATCTCTTGTTTGACCACATCCAGCTTGCCTTGATTCATGGATCTTACATTCCAGGTTCCTATGGAGTATAGATCTTTGCAGCATCGGTCTGGTGTTTATTATTATGTGTGTTGCTAAGCTCAATTTGTAAATTTTGTACTAATTCACACCTAATTCTACTAATCTTCATTTATTGTTAGAACTGAAGACCTTATATATACTTCATCCTATATTTGGGAGTCTGGTTATGGTCTGTAACAGCTATATACTAGTGCATTCGATTTCTTTACCCCATGGCCCATGATCATGATATTCAGGGGCATTGCTAGCCCTCACCTTATGGAGTTTCAATTCCCAAAACTCTTTTCCCTGGTCCTGAAATTCCCTGTCCATTGCGATCAATGTAAGGTGGTTGGTATAATTCACATTAGCAGTTGTACTCCATTGGATATTGCCCTTAGCTTTTAGCTCATTTGCTCACAATCCTCAGCCAGTAAACCAACCTGAGCTGCTTGGGTTTTTCAAAATCAAATATACCAACATCACTCATTTCTTGCTTGCTGTTTTCTCATATTTATCCTGTTTCCCCCATTCCTCATGCTTCTATCACCGGTAGTTTATTTCCTTCATGGGCTAACTTAGCTGTTAGTCAGGTGCACATTGGGGACCTAATTAAAGGTCTGGACATAACAAGATTTTTTTTTTTTTTGCCTGTCAAAAAGCACCATATGTATTAGATCAGTGAAAACAGGATAGCTACTAATCTTTAGGAGTAAGGTATGCAAGGGAACTGGAATATTTTGCAATAACCCATCTAGATAATATAGGTACCTCTGCACAAATGGTTTCTGATGCAATTACTTCCCAGATATATGTTGTTTATACAGAAAAAGGTCTTGGCATAGTATTGTGCATTCTTCAGTACAGTTTACTTGGAGCATAGCTGGAATCCTTATTAACCATCTAGTAGTAGGAGGGGGAGAATAAAACAAAAGAAAAATAGTAGGAAGCCTGCTACACACTGAAAGATTGCCAACTTACCTAAACAGAAAGACAATGCTTTGTAGAAAATTGCTCACAGAGCAAATGGCTTGAGAAGAAACAGGGCCAAATTATACGTACCAGTGGCAGACCTGTGTCCTTAAATGTGGGCCTTCTGCCACTGTCACATGTAAAGTGGGGTGGAGGGGGAGATATGTGAAAGGTGTCTAAAAGGGTGTGGAATCAAGAGTCTGGAACTTTCCCTCCCCTCTCTTCCTTTCCTTCCCTGTCTTCCTTCTCTCTCTTCCTTCCACACACATGTTTCTCTTTTCCTCCACCCTACAGTCTGCCTCCTATGGTCATTTCCTTTCACCCCAGCCCCAGTACAGGAACTGATCCTTTGGCAAAAGGCAAATGATAATACGATGAATTTGACATCCAGCATTCCCCGTTTTGCACCATAAAATCATATCTACACACCTTGGTCATAGGTAAAGGTGTAGTTTGGTCCTTGTGCAACTGAACCAAGATACTCTGTAAACTAAGACCAACAAAAAACAGACATCCCAAAGTCTCTGGAGAAGCCTTTGCACACTTCTAATCCCAAAGGTGCTGGTCAGTCTAGCAACAGACTGTGAACATGCATTTACCAAAACATCCCAAATGAATTGAATTGGGTATGTCACAACACCTCACAGAATTCTGTCCCTGATGGTGACATTTCTTGAGGTAACAGAACTGAGTTCAGCCCCCTCCTATATTACAAATATGGGGGGGGGGGGTTGACATAGGCAGACAAGGACACGGTGTGTTCAGTAAACATGTAAAATTTCCCTATGCACATACCATCCTGTGTTCATAGAACACCACCACACAAGGGGAAGGCCTGGTTGGCCAAATTTTCCCTTGTCAACTGGTGGCAAAAGTGATCTGTTCAGTTTTAATGTGATATTCTGATATTAGTACTTTAAGGTTATGGTCATGAATATTATTAGCAGCCATCTGCTGCTTGTGAATTATAAATGTCTTAAATGAATAATATTAATATTGAATTGTTAATGGTCTGTCGAACCAAATTCCACTGGCTCCTAATAGAATTAAGATTTATATGGCATTTTGTAAGGGAATAATTAATATTACAATATCTTATATATTTGCTATTTTACTACAGAGGCCATGTGCTCTATTTCACTCCAGAGAGTCATATACTTCAACAGCTGTCCAAGCCCCTGTCCAATTTGCCTCATTGTCTGGGAAAACCAGGGAAGGGGTGGGTGTCTTCCTTATTTCATATTTACAAGGTGGCCAAGGAGTTTTTCCTGTTTCTAAAAAAATATTTAAAAATAAGCACCACACAACCACTCTCAATGGCACCAAGCTTTCTGCAGGCTCACAGACTGGTAGGGCTTGTTGGATTGCCTGTAAGAATTGTGTTTTATCACATGACATCCCCATGGGCAATCCAGGAAATGAGAGCTTCGTGTTGCAGCAAATGTTTGCAGGGCCTTTTTAAATTTATAAAGTGGGAGAAGCCCCCCATAAGCAGTAACTAAAGTAAGAGTCCAAGCCCATCCCCATATCATTTAATGTGTGTGAGTCTTCAGTCCAGTCAGAACAAGATCAGGTTTCCTACTGAAGAGGTGGTCAGGTCCCATGTTAGGCTGTGAGTTGCACTGACCATGGATCTGAGCACAGACCTCCCCCATTATACCTGCAACAGTCTGTAGCGCCCTAGTTTGCACATGTGGTGCAGTGCCCCAATTTATAAAGGTGTAGGTGAAGAAGAAGCAAGCTACCTGCCGCATGGAGGCAAAAGCCTTCCATCAGTGCTGTCCCTTTTTGCTTGCAAATAAATGCATCTTTTCAGAACACTTGTATGAGCAGTTGCCTTCCGATATATGAATTTGGAGATCCTCATAATTTTTCCAAATGTGTAGCTATATGTTTGCATATGCACATTTTATGCAAATTCTGCCCTGTTTGTTTGGTGATAAATTTCCTCTTCGGTCGCAATACTCTACACCATTCTACTAAACTGGAATATGTTTCTTACTTTCTGCTTGCATTCCACTTGAAATAGTGCAGCTTTCTACTACTTGCTGAGACATGTGGATCTTAGAATTTCCACTCTAAGTGACTTTATGGTATCATTGGACAAAACTGTACTATTGTGCATATAATATTAAATATTTGCTTACAGGTTGCAGCCAGAAGGCCAAAGGACTTGCCAAGAGAACTGAGCTATTGGTGCTTACACCTGCCATCTGTCTTGTCACCCCATCCAGATATCACAGTATTGCAAAACCACCTGGGCTTCCACTATAATAGAACATAACAAATAAGAAATGTGCTGGATTGGACCAAAAGGTCTCTCCAGCATTATTTTCACAGTAGCCAACAAGCAGGAGTGTGACAACATTTGGGTTTCCCAGCAACTGGCATACAAAGGCATACTGGCTGCAGTGCTAGAGATAATATACGGCCATTATAATTAGTAGTCTTATCCTCCATAAATTTGTCTAATCCCATTTAAAGTAGTCCAAAATGGTACACAGATCTCCCTCATTGTACATACAATGTAGTGCAGCAAATAGGACCATAAGACCAGATGGCTTCATCTAGGTCTGACTTTAAGAAACACATAAATATGGATTCATATGAGGAGCGCACTGAGAAAAATCTGCTAGCAGATCTCCAGGAGGTTTGGTCTCAGTTAGGCTGCTGAAATTAAGACAGCTTTGGAAAACCAGGAATGGACCTCTTTGTGACTGTATGCTCAGTTCATTTCCAGTGCTGAAAACAACTTCTTAGGCTCAGCATGTTCTTGGTGACACCCTGTTCTTTAATTCTAAGTATTCACATTTTTCACTTGGCCCTACTTGGTGGATCTTAGTTTTGAGTTTTAAAAAGGAGATTTAACAAACCTGAAGTCTGTCTGCTTCATACCATCCTGCAGTCTGGCGGCACTGAAGTAGATCATGAGGAATTTAAGAGACTTTTCCCCTTGATGTTTCAATTCTTGCACCAAGATATTTGAACAGTAATATTTCTTTTGACTTTTAATGTCTTGCTATTCCTGGCCTTAGCATTCACTATTTTAATATGCTTTGAAAGGAAATACTGCTTCAGCCAAAATGTCAACAGCACCTTAGAAAAATGCTTTGAAAGGACATAACATTTTCTCTCTTTCGTTAATTACGAGATTGGTAATAATTTAGCAGTTTAATGACTGCTCCACAGTTTCTCTTAAAGGCAAATGTTTTGGAAGGCATCAAGCACATTTTCATGTCTTTTAAAAATTGAGAACAAGTATTAAGGTTTTAAGATCTGTTTGGACTTCTCATCCCACCCCAATGTGTTAATTTTTGGTATATTCTTTTAAATAGGATTGTTAGTTTATGCACATGAGTTCCTGTCAGGAGCAATGGCATGGAAAAGAAGCTTTTAGCATCTTTTAATCCTGTCAGCCTTTTGTCATACTGATTTACACAGTGATTTGCATATATTATCCTGAGGGATTAAACAGTCAGAAGTGTTGATTGCATTTAAATTTAACTGGTGCCTTTTGCCACCACCCTGAAATTTCCATGACATAAATTTGGGCACATTTCACAAGGATAAATTGGTCCATCAGTTTTTACCAAAGCTGGATCTGTGGCTGGCTTCCAGCTGTGCATCAGCCATGAGTAAATATGGTGTGATGTCTTCTCATCCCCTGAGAAAATTGTGGAAATGTAATTTGGACACCAGCCTTTTCAAAAGGCTTTTCCACCAACTGAGCATGAGCAGTTTTGCATCCTCGCAGGAACACAAAGAAGTAAGATTACAATTAATATTTCCTTTTTAGAATCAAGAGAAGATACTATTACATTGGACAGTCTCTGCCTTTTAATTTGGGGTAACTGGCTAATCTAAGAGCAACAATTTGAAATGCCATCTCTGAATGGTCCCTCCCTTCTTCTTTTTAAATTTCCCTTTGGAAAGGTCTTATTTTTCCACTGATTTATTCCTCTTTTTTTCCTCTTTGCAGGTTATTTCCAGGATTTGTTAAACAAGTCAGAAAAGGCTCTTTATGACACATTTCCTGGCATGTATGGAGACCTTTACCTCCAGAACATAAAGCTATTTAAAGACTTGTATAGTGAGCTGCGGCGTTATTACCGGGGTTCCAACATCAACCTAGAAGAGGCTCTCCATGAGTTTTGGACTCGCCTGTTGGAGCGGCTATTCAAGTCCATGAATCCTCAGTACCACCTTCCTGATGAGTACGTGGACTGCATGATGAAGCATTCTGAGCAGAATAAACCATTTGGAGAGGTCCCAAGGGATCTGAAGCTGAAAGCAACAAGGACCTTCATTGCAGTCCGCTCCTTTGTGCAGGGACTTGGTGTGGGCAATGATGTTGTCAGAAGAGTATCTCAGGTAGGCCATTAGCCAGAGTTCCTGTGTGTTCTCTCTTCCCGAAGAGCTTTCAATATCTGTTTACTCTTCCTTACTACAGGTATTAATTATTTTTAACATATATCATATGAGTTTGATTTGTTGATATCTTTTTTCCTCCTGCTTATGTAAGTAAATGCTTCAGGCAGATTTGAGGTCCCTCCAAGTTTGAGCGTTCTGTCAGTAAATTGCTTTTGGTAGGCTCCTCCTTTTCAGACAGATTAGGTTTAATGGTGGAGAAGTTTACCTTGTAGTGCAGAAAAGCAGTGGCTTTCTTCTGTTTTAACTGTAGCAAGTGTCTGTGTTACTGAGAGGCAATTTCCTGAAAGTGCCATTTTGTTTTTCCCACAATGCACCAGAGTGACATAATATCTGGTACCCTATGGGCCAAGTTAAATGGTGCCCTCTAAAGTTTAGCTCCTCTGAGGACAGCACAGGCAGGCAGATGTGAGTGTGATGGGCCTTAAGGCAAGGTGGTGCTGGATGTTCACAATGCCATGTGATGACACTGGGACACTGGGAGGAAATGGTGATGATACTCGTAATTTTTAATAGCCAAATGCTCTTGGAATCTCACAAGTATAGCATGCAATGTCACTGATATTTTTAACATTTTTCCTAGGAGTCTAGGAAATGGCTTGGCCATTTTGTCAAAATAGTTAGAGGCCATAGCCCCCAGTGGCATGGCAACTGCTGTGGAATGGCTTCTTCCCCTTCCATTTGGTTATACTGGAAGTTACGGTTCACGTACGACAACCCCACTGCACCTTCTTTGCATGTTGGAAGTCATCATTGCAAGAACTGATACAAGGTGACATAAGAAGGAACTGCTCTTTGGGATCCTCTCACATGGTCTAGGAGGACTCCAGATGTTTTAAACTACAACTTCCATCAGCCCCAAGTAGCACAGTCAGTGATCAAGAATTATGAAAGTGGTGATACCAAGCATCTTGAGGGCACAAGGTTGAAGGAGGCTGGCCTAAGGGTTCTGCCCTTTCTGAGTGGCGTTTTCTGAGGAAAAAGTCACATCACAGTTTGGAAAGGCCCTAAAGCATCTAAGTGTTTGCACTTCTGCAGAGAAGGATGTGGGATCCCTTGATTCTGAAATAAACACATCCACACAGAGCTGGTTTGCACAGCAGTGCACACGGCATGTAATTTCAAGACTAGACTTGAAAAGTTATACTATTTCTCACACAAATGCCCTGTGCTGTGTCATTTGGTGGTTATTCTTCTGACTACAGGTACAAAGATTGTGCTGAAGAAGTGGGAGGAATGCTGACATCACTGAAACGTTTAATGCCACAAAACTGCCTGGCACTGAAGAATAATAAGGGTGTGACTAAACTGAATGCTCAAATTGTGCTAGCTCTTGATCTCATCGGGCAGACGGGTTAGGCAAAGGGAGTGCTCTTTGATGCTGTCAGTACAAATCCAAGAAAGAGAAAATTCAAATAGTAATAGTGGCTCAAGCTTTGATTTATAAATGTGGCATTATAAAATCGTTCAAAACTGATGGAGCCTTTATACATCTCATTAGGATCGTGCTTTCAAATGGAAAATGACATAATCCAATGGAGAATTTGAAGCCCCCTTTCTTTCTGTCCCTATTTTTCCTCTTCCTTGTGTGTGTGTGTTTGGGGGGGGGAGTGGAGTTTTTCACCCTAATTTGCACTGTAACATTATTCATGTTCTGGGCCTGAAGAAATGAACTGGCCAGTTTAACAAGAGCTTCCCCTTCTTGCCTTTCTCCTCTGTTTCTTTTATCAAAGGAGGGAAGGGGAAATGAACCACTGTTTGTGCATTCAGGACTTCCACAGACAACTTTTCATCCTAACAGTTTCTTAGATGTGTAGCTGCAGGGGAAGCTGAGTGCTCACTTGCTATGATACCTCATTGATTCAATGGGTGCAAGTGGGCCCATGTATTGGGCAAGCTCACACTTTCAAGAGCTCCCATGTATGCACTGAAGTGAAAATAGGGCTCTGGTCAGTGGCAATTGCAATCATGCTTCAGTTGCCCTCTTCACATGGACTACAGCAGAGGTGGGCTGTATTTCAGGATCTGGCAACATGGTGCCTTTCTTAGTGTCCACTAAAGTGCCTACCTTTCCATTTAAAAACTAATATAATGTAGTTTTTAAAGGAGCATAACACTGGTGTGGTTAGTGCTGAAAATTGGCTTTAAAGACATTGTTTAGAGTGCTGGGGCTGAGTTCCCATCTCTGCCTTGCACTCAGTCTTTTGGGCAGGTTACTTGTCCTTTGCCATGCTTCCCATGGCAGCTATTTCATGGTGGTGTCCAGGACATGCCAGAGGAGCCCATGGCCCAAAAAGGTTGCCTACTCTTGCTGCATTACCTTTACAGATTCTCCCACTTCTAACAATTTACCTCCAGTCACCAATTAGAATCCTCTTTGAGGATATTTTGTGGTAAAATGAGGAGGCACAACAAACAAGAGGTAAAGCAGCATGCCTGAGGATGAAAATCGGGAATTACTGCACTCTGTGTGTCTTGTTAACAAGGGCTTCTGCAGTTATTCCCTTATGCTTAAATACATCTGATGCCTTAGCTCAGCAATTCATTTACATTTTTGTATTTGCTCCTACAAACGAGGATATGTCAACTTGCACTATTCCCCTTCATTGCAGCTGTGATGATTCTTCCCCTGTAAACCTAGTGCAGAAAGAAAAGGAGAAAGGGGGAAATGTGCTGTTCATAGCAGGGCCTCTGAAATAGCCAGTGAGTAATTGAAGAGCAGGAGTATGTCACTGGCCACATATCAAGCAGGGTTCCGAGTGTTTGCTTTTAATGACTTCTGCCTCCACATTTTGCCCAAGTTGAAGTTCTTTCCCTGCCACCAGCTGCCAGATCCCATGTCATTCTAACATTTCATCCATCTCCCTTTTCAGTTTGCATGTCAATAGGCTCTATGTAGTGCAGAAGCTTTGCTGATGATTGAAAGGCATGTGTGCAGGCTTCACAGAGAGAGAACAGAATGGAAGCAGCTTAATGAATTGCACATTAGAGTAGTTTCAGCTATTCAGCTAGACCCACAACCTCAAGATCTCTTTCCCCAAAATAGCATGCAGACCTAGTTTTCCTGGTAATTAGTGAAAATTGTCCTTGATTAAGGGAAATCTTAGATTTAGTTTTTTAAAGTTCATAATTGGTCCTCAAACTCTTCCTGATTGTTTGGATGCATTTTACTTTAACAACGGTATGAAGTTTTGCTGTTTGGCGGCTTTGTTGAAATTAAGCTGGGTGTTTCCGCTTAATTACTGTTTAGATTCTCCTCAAGAATACCTCAGATTCTGCAGCTGAAATCACACTTGCTTTTTTCCTAACAAAGCTTTTTTGGAATATTACAAGATAACACACTTTTTCATATCTCCCTAATTCTACCAAGAGGCTAGAAAGAAATAAAATAGCCTACTGGGAAAAGGGACACTGGCTGGATTCACACAACTACTTTTCTTCTGTCGTTAGATGATTTTTTTCTCAGTCACCCTGTGGTGAGTTCCCTATGGAAGTAGGTCAAGTGAAAGGTTCAGCTTTCATTGCAGCCCACAGCCTGCATTCCTTGGTAGCACATTTGATTTTCGATAACAATGCCTGTTCCATGGTTTTGTGTTCTTTTTAAAGGCAAGCAAGGTGAACCATATATACTTCTATTCATTAACAGAATGTGGGCAAAATGTATTTCACTGTGATGAACTTCACTCTCTTTACAGTGGAAGTGTGTTTATTCAAGCACCAGACTTCTATATGAAGAGAGCTAGTAGTTAAATATCTGCTTCAGATTTATAGAAAAAATCTTACATTCTTCTGCATAATCTTTAGGCTTCATATGCTTATGGTTTTATAGATTTCTCTCTCTAGTCATTGCACTTACAGTCTTGACTGTATCAGTGTGATGATACTCAAAAAGCTCTGCACATTTTTTCCATCATGGCAATCTTTTCATTTATAATGTCTTCATCTGTTGGTGCTGGTCTTCAAAGCTGAGTTTTCTTTTCAGTGAAAGCTTATTTTTCAAGGACAATTCTTCAGAAAATGAAGGATGTAAATGGGTTATAATTAGGGTTGGTCCACAGTAACTTTTTGAAAGCAAAAAGAGGAGTTGGAGAAGAAAATACCCCCTATAACCGCTGAACATATATAAATTCAATTTCTGTGTGGTTGTTCACAGGCACAACATTCTCAATTGTTGCACCTCCGTTGGCACCGTTTTATCTTAACCACTTAGAAATCACACAGCGAGCAAGATGACATCACAGCATGATGTAGTAAATCTGATTTATGTCGCTGTGTAGCCAGAGAAAGAGCCCGGGGCTAATGCCTCGTTTTCAGTGAGACCAGGCAATGAAAACGCCATCAGAGAACAGGAAGAGACGGAACATGTCCCAAGCTGGTTAGGCAGTGTGTAAATGTCCGCTTTTCGTCAGCAGAGGAATGGAGCCAGCAACAAATAGTGAATTCCTTTAGCTTTGGAAGGTGGGACCAACGAAATTGCATTGCCCACACCCCCAGTTTTGGTTCTGCCTTCATGAAACAAACAGGGTTCTGAGTGGCTCCCAGTTATTAATGGGTGTAGCTGTTTAATCAAAAGTGTGTGAGGAAAATAAAAAAGAAAAGAAGGAATTTTGTTACGAGGGAGGTGCTTGCTGTACCCAGACCCTTTCACTTTTCATGCCCTTGTTTCATGCTGCTGCCCTGCGCTTGTGAGGGGACCTGCCGCATTCAGGCCGATGTTGCCCGTTTACTCCCCGCTTGTGAAGAAAAGCCTCCCGCCACTGCTTTGGGAAGGGGCTTGCCTCCCTTGTGTGTCTTCCCTGACCTGCTACTCCAGCTCTCACAGCACTCAGACCTCTGCCTCTGCCAGCTAGCTGGACTTTGGGGCAAGGAACTTGGCATGTTTAGCCCAGACGTTTCTTGCTGCTGCCACTCAGCTGGCCTTCTGCCTGATGGCGAGGAAGAGG